CAAACACATGTAATTTGATTAATGGTGGATAACATCCAATTTTAAATTTATTAACATAAATGAAAAAATTATGTAGGGGAAATTGGATTGCAAGCACAGTACCCCCCCCCCCTGGCTTTAATTGACATTGTACTTTGTAATAGAACTGGGTGTCATCTACCTTAATAGTTATAAATATGTTGCAAAAATATGAGATAACATATTGGTGAAAATGTTTTTTTTCACTCTTTTAGGCATACAACTGGTATGTACCCTATGACATCCGCAGGGTTTCGAGGGACTTATCCTACTAGCCTTCAAGTGACGACAGCAAGTATACCAAGGTTTAGTCCTCCTTCTCTCCTTCATCCGCATCCTGGTATACCAACTCATCCAGGACTTCATCACCCAGCCCTGTTGACTGCTGGACCAAAGCATGGAGTTTCCTTGCCATCTATGGAGGGTAACAGGTACAATATGTGAGCAACGTTTTATTCTACTTATAATTATTTAGGACCTATTGACCACATGTAAATTACATTGTTTCTTCTACATTATTGATTACAGATTTCCATAAAGTAAAAAGTGTAATGGTTTACAAATGTTCTAAAGTTTTAGCTTAGTTTTAGACGTTTATACTCTTTCATTCTGAAGTTAAAATTGGCAAACAAGTTTTCTTCAACTCTCTGCAAAGTAAGTTGTTAGTATGAATAACATGTGCCTAGTAACAAGTTTGCAGTATGTCCAGCTGTGAACAGGATTTCTGAATGACAAATTCTCAGCACCCAAGCTTGATTCTTACCCAATTATGTCTGTTAAAAATGGTTTTGTATCTTTAAATCTTATAGCTACAAGTCAAACTCTAGCCTATAAATTCATAAGCTAGATAACCATTAGAAAATGATACATCAACGGTTCTGAAAAGTAAAAAAGTAAGATAACACAAAATAACATACACTTTAAGGACCTGTTAGTCCATCTAGGCCATCCCATCCATTAAGCTCTCTTAAATTTGCTGAATCCGCCATACGTAAAGGCAACACATTCTGAAGTCCATCTACCTTGTTAGAAAAATAAAACTTTTTTTAGCTGAGGATGACTTCTTTTCTGCTGACAAAATTTGTACTTGTGTCCCTACTCCTTCCATTCTCGTCATCGACACTTGCAATTCCCTTTACAATCTTAAAGACCTCAAGCTCTTCCAGATTTTCTTATTTCAAAAGAAAATAATTTCATAGATGTTAATCTATCATCGTAGGACAACTTTTCCATTCCAGGCACCATCTTAGTAGTCTTCTACTAAACTCTTTCAAACAATTCAGTGTTCTTCCTAAGGTAAGGAGCCCAAGACTATACACAGTATTTCAAATGTTGTCTAACAATGACCTAAACAATGATGTTATAACCTCTATAGACTTGTATTCAAGATTTCTATAGATACAAGCTAAAATTCTATTTGCCCTGCCACTAGCAATAGCACATTACTTGGATGGCTTAAAAGACTGATCAACCGTTACACCAAGATCCCTTTCTTTCATGACACTGTTAAGGTTATTCTCATAAAAATTATACTTATAATTCAAATAATGCCAACTCGCATGCATTATAATTAAAATTCATCCGCCATTTATTTGCCCAACTCACCAAATGACCTAAATCCTTTCGTAAAGCAGCAGCAATCCCTCACAGCCAATAACATCTAACACTTTAATATCATCAGCAAATTTAAGTAATTCATTAACCATTCATTCATCTATGTCATTGATGTAAATTAAAAAAGAGCAAAGGTCCTAAGACTGAGCCATGAGGTACCCCACTTGTGATATTATTCTTGTTTGACTGAACTCCATTTATAACAAACCTCTGGTTTCTTCCAACCAACCAGTTTTCTTATCCAATGAGCCAGTCTATCTCCCACTCCTATGGAGATAATTTTTTAATAATCCTTTTATATGGCAACTTGCCCAATGTTTCTGAAAATCCAGATACACACCTTCATCTACGTAGACAATAAATTCTTCAGAGATTAGTAAGGCAACAGTTTCCCCAAGTGAAACCATGTTGACCATCCAACAAAATTTTAAACTTTGTTAAATGACTTTGCAAAGCATCTTTTATCACCCGTTCAAAAACATTTTCCATCACTGATGTAAGACTGATAGGCCTATAGGTACTGGAACAGTTTCCATCACTGATGTAAGACTGATAGGCCTATAGGTACCGGGACAGTTTCTATCACTGATGTAAGACTGATAGGCCTATAGGTACCGGGACAGTTTCTATCATTGATGTAAGACTGATAGGCCTATAGGTACCGGGACAGTTTCTATCACTGATGTAAGACTGATAGGCCTATAGGTACCGGGACATTTTCCATCACTGATGTAAGACTGATAGGCCTATAGGTACCGGGACAGTTTCCATCACTGATGTAAGACTGCTAGGCCTATAGGTACCGGGACAGTTTCTATCACTGATGTAAGACTGATAGGCCTATAGGTACCGGGACAGTTTCTATCACTGATAGGCCTATAGGTACCGGGACATTTTCTATCACTTCCTTTGAAAATAGGAATAACATTAACTATCTTTCAATCTTCTGGCACCTGCCCACTATTCAAGGACTTACAAAATAAAGTAGCAAATGGTTGCTTCTAGATGTCAGTCTTATTTAAATACAAATTATAGACAATAATACAGCATTTGTAGGTGCTTTATTGTGGTCATTTTTGTTAAAAATATTTGTTTTTTGTTTTTTTATACACCAGTGTAAAGCTAAAACTGAAATCAGTTTGTTCCATTTATTTAATGTTTGGATATATATATAACTTTGGATTTTATCAAGCTCTAACAATTTTCCCTGACAAATTTAAGCAAGTTTATTTTAGTGATATAATAAACATTAAAACCAATATATATATATATATACATGTTTGTGTGTTTATATATATATGTGTATGTGTGTGTTTATATATATATGTGTTTGTGTGTGTTTGGACCATCACATTACTAGAAATAGTATTTTTTGATTACTTTTAGTCACATGTAAAACTTTAAATATTTTGTTATTGTTCAAATTAAATGTTTGCCCACCTGAATAAAATGACTTTTTGCAAGAAAACTAAAAAAAATCATTAAAGACTATATTTTTCTACTTCATCATATTTGAAATGGAATATTTGGTTGGAAAAACTAATTAAATCCATAGAGTTCAAACTGATATGTACTGTTACCCATAGAGACAAGTTTTGAAACTCTGAACTATTTTAGGAATCTTTCAAACTACATGCCAGAACAAAAGTTTTTCCCAGGGAAGTGCAGTGAGTCTTCTAACAGTCGCACGACTCACAGTAACACATCTCACCAGCGAGAATTGGAGAAGAACTCAAATCATATTAAGAAACCTCTTAATGCTTTTATGCTGTATATGAAGGAGATGCGTGCCAAGGTTGTTGCAGAATGTACACTGAAAGAAAGTGCAGCCATTAACCAAATATTAGGAAGGAAGGTAAAGTTTCATAGTATCAGAATTGTGCTTTGAGGATTTCTGACTATCTTTTTTTGTTGATGTTTCTTACAAGAAGATTTAAACATTCAAGGTGGGCTAATGAATAGGAGTACATCCAGGAGTTTCAACGATTAACTTTTTTTTTTGTATATGCATTATTCTAAAAATTTATAAGTTCAGAAATTATTTCTGTATTCATTATTAAACTTTCGTGTCAAATTAGTGAAAACATTTCCTTAAATAGCTTTTTCAATAAAACTTAAAATAAAATAAAATATGAAATTAACGAAAAGAAGAATCATTAGGTGAATACTTTAGTAAATGTAAAGGAGATGGAAAGAAAGTTTACCTGTTCACTCAGGAGATGGAAAGAAAGTTTACCTGTTCATTCGGGAGATACTGAACTGAAATTATTTAATACAGTCTTTCAGACCTAGGCTACTGGGCAAAAATTATGAAGACAAAAGAAAACAAACTTGCATGAAAATAAATCAATTTGTCTATTTTTTGTTTATTAACTTGACCATGAAGAAGGACAGAAGCTTGCTTAGAAAATACAAGATAAAGAAATATGGTGTTTTTTTTCACAGTAATAATAAGTTTGAGAAGAAACTGAAATTATGTTCTGTTTAGCTTCATTTAGGTATAAATTTGAGTTTAACACAAAATTTTTTCTTTTGTAAAATTAATAAGTTTGAAAATATCCATGCTTTTGTAACTTCTTATCATCTGCTGTAGTTAAATGTAACTAGTAATACGTGGACTGAGTTTATTTAGTTTCTTAGGAACATTAGCTAAATAGCACTTTAAAATACTCGATCAAAACCTAATGTTGATGACGTTGAAGAACAAGTAATAATTACGGCACTAACTTGAGATATTTTCCAGCAGTCTGTTAGCGACCCTTATCTATTAATAACAGATCACGTATCAATCGTTGAGAGTCGTGTTTACTCAAACATGGTCGTAACTGTCATGCTGTTATTTTACTTACTATTTTATTAGATATGTGTAGTGGCCTAATTTTTTCCAAATTTCATATTGCTCTGTATCAGTATTCCTTTCATTATTGTACTTACTCAGTCTCTTGATACAGTCTGCAATGATTATTGTACTTACTCAGTCACTTTATACAGTCTGCAATGATTATTGTACTTATTCAGTCACTTGATACAGTCTGCAATGATTATTGTACTTACTCAGTCTCTTGTGAGTAAGTACAATAATCATTGCAGACTGTATCAAGTGACTGAGTAAGTACAATAATCATTGCAGACTGTATAAGTGACTGAGTAAGTACAATAATCATTGCAGACTGTATAAAGTGACGATACAGTCTGCAATGATTATTGTACTTATTCAGTCACTTGATACAGTCTGCAATGATTATTGTACTTACTCAGTCACTTGATACAGTCTGCAATGATTATTGTACTTACTCAGTCATTTTATACAGACTGCAATGTTTTGACAACTTTCTGAAGTCAATGTTGTTCACGTGCTCAATGATTGCTTTTTTTTGTCTTCAATGTTTGAAGTTTAATCAAACCCACATAAATCTTGTAAGATATTTGGCTTTCAATACGTATAAAATATGCAAAGTTAATAAACTAATGTTGAGAAATATCTGATATTAACAAAAAGTTTGATTTCAATCTTGTGTATCAAATATTTTGAAGCTGTAATCATTTTGTAAAGTGCACATTTATGGGTTCTAGTGGCACAACTTGTCCCGGGAAGAACAAGCGAAGTATTATGAGATGGCACGGAAGGAACGCCAACTACATATGCAGCTCTATCCAGGATGGTCAGCTCGAGACAACTATGCAATGAACAAGAAAAAAAAGAAAAGAAAAAAGGACAGAAGTGCCGATGGAGGTGGGTTTTATTTTCAACCAATTTATTAGTTTGTTCGTGGTATCTTTTATATTTAAAGAGTGTTTGCCATACAAAAACAAACTTGAAAGAACCTGTGATGACCTGACATTCATATGTGATGGAGCTGCACACATCTGTTTTAGTTTAAACTGCTATAGCTTATTACAATGAGAGATGCTACTGTAGCTTTCTCAGTAAATATTGCTAAATGATTCTACAGCAACTTTCTGAGTGAACGATGCTATTGTGGCTCTTCTATTTGAGGGACAACAAGGGTCCCCTTGTCTTTTCATAGCTCTTCCATTTGAGGGACAACAAGGGATCCCTTGTCTTGTCATGGCTCTCCCATTTGATGGACAACATGGGATCCCTTGTCTTGTCATGGCTCTCCCATTTGAGGGACAACAAGGGATCCCTTGTCTTTTCATAGCTCTCCCATTTGAGGGACAACAAGGGTCCCCTTGTCTTTTCATAGCTCTCCCATTTGAGGGACAATCAGGGTCCCCTTGTCTTGTTGTGGCTCTCCCATTTGAGGGACAACAAGGGTCCCCTTGTCTTATCGTGGCTCTCCCAGTTGAGGGACAACAAGGGTCCCCTTGTCTTATCGTAGCTCTCCCAGTTGAGGAACAACAAGAAGTCTCTTGACCCATCATGGCTCACCCATTATTTCATATCTAACTCTGACTCCAAAATACTCACCAAGCCTTCTCTTTAGCCTCCCACTCCCAATCTTGCTGCATCTACCACAAACTTACATCATCCTTTATACTAAAGCAATATTTTGAGTAAAGAATTTTTGTTAAAATCTCATTTAAGCTCAAGTAATTCTTTTAATTTAATAAAGTTTATACCAGAATGGAGAAAAATGCAATCGATTTTGATGGTGAAAAAATTACCCGTGTGAAGGATTTAGAATTTCATGTATTCTCTGTAAATAATTGTTTGCACATACTTCCAAGTGAAATATTTACAGTGAAGATTTTTGTACCTGCCCGATTCGAGAAACGTAAATTTTAACAACAGCATTCTTAGAGTTGGTATGCTAAAAAATGTTAGTTTAGGGGGCGGGTCTGATACCGTCACAAAAGTTTGTTTTTGTCAGAGTGCTCATTTTCTTCACGATTATTGAAATATGTGGTCAAACTTATTTAAGATTGTTGGAATTTTTAAACAGTTTTTAAAGATTCCTATTTACCATGCGTACACCTTAGGAAATTGATTTACTTTGAATGAATTGTTAAGGATTTGACAATGAAAACTGTTAAGGCAGATCAGATTATTGAAATATGTGGTCAAACTTATTTAAGATTGTTGGAATTTTTAAACAGTTTTTAAAGATTCCTATTTACCATGTGTACACCTTAGAGAATTGATTTACTTTGAATGAATTGTTAAGGATTTGACAATGAAAACTGTCTAAAGGCAGATCAGATTATTGAAATATGTGGTCAAACTTATTTAAGATTGTTGGAATTTTTAAACAGTTTTTAAAGATTCCTATTTACCATGTGTACACCTTAGAGAATTGATTTACTTTGAATGAATTATTAAGGATTTGACAATGAAAACTGTCTAAAGGCAGATCAGAAGAGATAACGAACAGTGAATAGATGTGAAAAATATTTTTATAAGGTTTACTGAAAGTTACATTTGAAGTAAAAATTTTTTTAACCCAAAATACCAGAATGGATCTTTACTGCATGGCTTCTTCATTTATTTATTAATTTATTTATTAATCTGCGAACGATACAAGAAGAAAGATTATGATTTTTTTAAATGTATATTTTTGTAATGTTTGCGTATATAAAAAATCTAGGGATAAAATTCAAGAAAACTTGTATAAATATTTGAAATAAAATCTCGACGATGAATGCTGTGTAATGTACAATTAATATTTTATTTAAAAACTGATCAACGTTCTTAACAAAAAAAAAGAAGGCACTCTACATGTTTTGACATTATTCACATCATCCTGAGGGTTTTAAATAAAATTTCAATAGTATATTATACAACGTTGATCGTTGAGTATTCTAAAGTGTTATAAAAAATCTAGTCTGATATGTACTCCATGTTAAATTTTTCTTACAAAGGTCATGATTTTTAGATTTTTTCTTTCTTTTACTTTTAAATGTTTGCATGTATATACTTGAAAAACTAGAAATTCATAAAAACTTTTTCACGTTTAAACAAACATGCAGCAAAGGGTGGGGGAAGTCATGTGTAAGTAGCTTTTTTATCTTTGGCATCTCACTAGGTTAGTGTCATATCTACTTATGATAGCTAGCGTAATGTATATTTTCCCAGTGAAAATAGGTAAAAAAAAAAAAAATGCCTATTAAATATCGTATTATGTTTGCTAAAAAATTCACCTATTTTTTTATTATTTTCTCTGCTTCTGTTTATGGACATTTAAAAACCTTACGGAGGTGCCAGTGTATTATTAGTCCATTATAAGTGTATTAGTTGTGTATCAAAGATAGTTTTAAATGATATGAATGACAAAATTACTTATTGATTCCCTTTTGCTGCTTGTTTGTGTTTTTGGTCTACATTTTGTGTGTCCTAAGCTGTTCAGAATCGTTTGTGTTTAGTTTAGTGCTAGAGTCGTAAAATGTTTATGTTTTTAATACCTTATTTTCTAATCTTTCAAGCACAGCATTTATAAGAAAAGTTTAAGTTTGTCATTTCGTCAAAGTGTTTCACAAAAGACACTCGCGAGTGATAAAAAAATATTTTTTTTTGTTCTTTTCATTCCTGATAGCCAACAATCCCAAGAAATGTCGAGCAAGGTTTGGTCTGGACCAACAGAACCACTGGTGCAAACCTTGTAGGTAAGTGTGAAACTTTCAGGTCAGTAAGTAGTCCTTCCTCTTTACCAGAACTATTGGTGCAAATCTTGTAGGTGAATGTGAAAAGTCCACTTTCAGGTCAGTAAGTAGTCTTTCCTCCTTACCAGAACCATTGGTGCAAATCTTGTAGGTGAATGTGAAAAGTCCACTTTCAGGTCAGTAAATAGTCCTTCCTCTTTACCAGAACCATTGGTGCAAGTCTTGTTGGTGAATGTGAAAAGTCCACTTTCAGGTCAATAAGTAGTCCTTCCTCTTTACCAGAACCATTGGTGCAAGTCTTGTTGGTGAATGTGAAAAGTCCACTTTCAGGTCAATAAGTAGTCCTTCTTACTTAAGTATTCTGTTTATTAAATGTATTTGATGTCAAATTTTGCATATAATTTACACAGTCGTATATGTGGTTGTAGAGTATGTTTTGTATTTGTTTTAAATTTCATTCCTCCCAGGGATTTGGTTAAACCATTAATATTATCTAATGCAGCCGGCTTCTAAATAAGTTAATGTATAAATAAGTACGTGAACACCACATTTTGCAGCTAAGTGTAGAAATATTGTCCAGACAAAGGTATGGGGGGGGGGGGGAGTAATTTATAGACTAATATTCTACTATAAGTTTAACAGGTAATAGTTTCTATTTACGGCTTTTTGAATCTTTTTTTCCAACACCCTGTGTTTCTAAAGTCTGGTAGAGGAATATTTCATTGAAGAATTCTAGGAATTATGGGTCTTTTTTTTTTTAAGAAATGAGATTGAAGTATAACTTTTCCTACTGTTATCATCCTTACTACGTGGTTAAAAGTAATGCAAGTTATGTCTCGAGTGATTGTTGTCCATTGCAGGAGAAAGAAGAAATGTATCAGGTACTTGGATGGAGCAGACTTTGAGGAAAGTGAAGAGAATCTAGGAAGTGTCAGCAGCATGGAAGCTCCCACCCCTGATTCAAAATGTGCAACTGAAAGTGACCAAGATGGAATTAACACCTCTTCTGGACTCAGTTCTTCAATTTCTAGAGATATCGGTGTTAAATCTGAGCTCAGCGAAAACGGCGTGATGACAAGTGTGTCGAATGGGGCACCGTTATGTTCGACAAGTTGCCCACGGAGCAGTCATCACCCCCTGAGTGTTCAGCACTTGACAGAGCCTTACTACAAGAAAACTCATTTATCCCAAGGGGACTTAGGTACTCCTAGTGTTCCCATTCCCCCACTTCCAACTCCTCCCTCTACGGACTCCACAGCTCCAGTGACATCCACTACCACACCTCCCATGCTGGTCGTAAAGTGATGTTGATCTCTTGAGAAGTAAAAGTGTTAAAAAACATTTTAATATTGTTTTGTAGATGTCTGGTTTGATCAAAGGTTTATCACGCGAGTCTGCCAATGATATAAATACAGTCTTGTTCACGATGAGAGTCATCTGGATACTTTAGTTCTGAACAGAAAGCTAATCAATACACCATTTGTGGTTTCTGTCAAACATGAGGTGTGTTTATCCATAAAAGTACATTATATGTAAGAGTATTAAATGTGCGATATTTGTACCATTATCAGGTAACTTCATTCCGTCATTGGCATTCATCTTAAATTATGTTTTCTGTTCACAATCTTTGTTTTATTTTATTTTTTCCTTTTTTTCTACAATTACCTGGTAAATGTCGCTTGTACAGACGTAGCTCAACGTGTTTATTATTCATGATATTAATTTTATTATATTTTTTTATATATCGACCCCTAAGAAATCAACGAACCACTTCTTTATCAGCTTAGATCGTTGCGTGAACATTTAGGGAGTTAGTATATTTCAGCGGTTCTCTATAATGGTTAGTTCGATTGTTGTTTTAACAAACTTTGTGTTTACAGTGACTTCAATTAGCTAGAATGCATCTTAACAGCTAGAACTTTTTATAAAATTGGCGGCTAAACTGACTCTGAAGTGACCACTAAAATACTAGATGAAACGGATAACGTCTTTATCAGACTTTTATTGTTAAGTTTGAAATTGTAAGCGAGTCTCAGTAAGATGGCTTTTCTCTGTAGAGCTGCTTTTAAAGTTTAATTATTGTAGCATTTAAATTTCGATGGGGAATTTAAAGTATCAAAAAAAAGTTTTGAAGAGAGTTTTTGTTACTGATTTTTTTTTCAATTTTGGGGGGTTACTTTAGTTTTAAAAACAAAACAGAAATACTAAGTACGTACAGAATGCCCCCCTACAGTAGCACAGCGGTATGTCTGCGGGCTTACATCGCAAAAAACCGGGTTTTGATACCCGTGGTGGGCAGAGCACAGATAGCCCATTGTGAAACTTTGTGCATAAATTCAAACAAACAATTTCTGCTTTTTTAAATTAGTAAACGTTTATGTAGGTGTTAGTATATGTAAATATGATTTTTATCTAACGTTGATTTTCGTTTCATGTTTATTAGTTTTATCAGATTTTAAAGATTTTTTTCCCCAATGAGTATGTAATATTTGAACACATACAACTGCAAATACGAGTATAAAAAAAACCTGGAAAGTGCAATATAAAAACAAATGCCACTAATTTCACTACTCGGCTTGTTCCTTTTTTGTAAAAAATAGAATTTCTATGTAAATGCACTCGGTTTTCTCTAAAACAAGATTGAATTTGTATTGAATGTTTAAAAAAAAGGTTCATAAACTCTTTAAAAAGGTGAAAGTTATAGTTTTTATATTTTTAATCCAGGGCCAAATTTCTTTTGTTTTTTAACAGGTTATAAATATTCTCGAATACGTTCACTTTATTTTGAATTTACAAAATCTGCCAATAGATGGCAACAGTGTATAATGGAGTAAACTGGTTTCTCTAAGGAAATAATTTCAAAAGAAATAAAATAGTTTATGAACAATATAAAAGTTTGTCTTAACAATACAGATTGACGATATTACAAAGTTTCAAACAACTTGCTTTGTTGTCATTTTTTTCAGTTAAGCTGTTTGTGCGGATATTATAGTGTGACGCCCAAGTATAATGTCTTATTATTAATAGTTGTATTTTCGGATTTTATTATTTTTCTAATTAACTACACCAATTTTAAGCCTTTCTTAGACTTTAATACTGCTTAAAAGTAATGTTTTTAAAATTCACGTTGTAAGAAATGGATTCGTTAAATGCAATATTTATTGTGATGTTTATAATTGTTTTAGAAATTTTTGGAACATTGCTATTAGAGAAAAAAGGGGGTATCCGCGTTGAGTGATGAAACTGATGTTTTGACTTATATTTGTACTTCTTACTTGATTATAAGAAAATATATTGTAGAGATACATCTCCCGCAGTCTGATATCCATATTCCTCGTGTATTGTTTGTGTTTAGTAAATGACTGAAATACTATCTTCACTAAAAAAAACCTATAATATATAAACTTTTTATCTACCAATCCAATCATATAGTGAATTATATTTAGTTGTTAAAAAAGCCTGTAGAGGGAGGGTATCTCAACCAACGTACTGACGTCCAGTATAGGTGCATAAGGTTTACTCGTTAATGATTTTGGGTTGTTGTCAGGTTTTGTTGGAGGGAAAACTAAGCAACCTTTAGAGACACACGGAATAATTTGGCTTTAGAAACTTCGTGTGAACGTGTAATTTTGTAAATATTTTGGTGTAATATTATCTGTTTATTTGAACACAGTTATTCAGTTGCAAATTGTTTTGTAGAATATAAGTAATACGTTTGTAAACTCCGTATTTTATCCTAGAGAGAATTTAAATTTAGGAAATGGTCCATGTACTGATTTTCGTTATTAACTGATCGATTGGCGAGAAATATGAAACATTTTCTGTTTAAACTAAACCTTACCGTGTAGAATTTTACACAGAGTTTTCTCTACTTTAAAATACACCCCCCCCCCCCACCACCAGTGGCACAGCGGTATGTCTGTGGACTTACAACGCTACAAACCGGGTTTCAATACCCGTAGTGGGCATATCACAGATAGTCCTTTGTGTAGTTTTGAGCTTAACTACAAACAAACAAACGTTAAAATACTTTTCTTTTATTTGCTAGCCTTCGACCCTCTTACCGGAGGCTTAATCAGGCAACAATGTACGTTGTTGCCCGATAGAGGCTCCGGTAAGAGGGCCGAAAGCTAGCAAATAAAAGTACTTTGACGTAGAGAAAAGTGTGAATAATTCTACATATTAATTTACCTACGTTCTGAGTCTTACATTACAAGACTTGACTGTGTTTAATTATTATTCAAGTTATTTTGAATAAGCTGTTTACATGTGTGTGCCTGCTTCAAGTTGATAACGTGGACAACTCACGTGCTCAGTTGTAATACAATTCAGAGAATAATTTCAAATAAAACGTGTACCTGTGATTTTTGAGAACAGTATTATTATTATCTGTATTGATGTTATTTTCCATTTATAAAAGTTGTTTATTCGGAGAGATTCCTTAGAACGCTTTAACTAAACCTTTCTTATACAACGTTCAAGCCTGTAGTTAGCCTCGTCCTTAGAGGGAGGAAGGGCGAGGGTATTTCATTTGGATCCGTATGTATGAATGTCCGCGCGCGCATCTAACAAAAATAATAAATCGATTTACAGGGGATAGGGTGTCCCCATATAACGGTCATCCCCAAATCTGGTGTCCCCATATAATGGTTATCCCCAAATCTGGTGTCCCCATATAATGGTCATCCCCAAATCTGGTGTCCCCATATAACGGTCATCCCCAAATCTGGTGTCCCCATATAACGGTCATCCCCAAATCTGGTCCGGATTCTGGATCATTTTGAAACATTTCTATAATGGAGATATATAGGGTATTTTCTCAATCTGTTGATAATAAATGTGTAATAAGTGATCGGATTAGGACCGAATTTCAGGCGCTCGTTGAAACCAAAAATCCAAAAACTTGCGGCGGGGCGACGATAAGTAATCTCTCTGTGTCTTGTAAAACTTGCGGCGGGGCGACGATATGTAATCTCTCTGTGTCTTGTAAAACTTGCGGCGGGCCGACGATATGTAATCTCTCTGTGTCTTGTAAAACTTGCGGCGGGGCGACGATATGTAATCTCTCTGTGTCTTGTTGTAATAATGAAAATTGTTCAAAGGGCCTAACATGGTCTCTTGGTTAGGGCACTCGACTCGCAATCTGAGCGTCGCGGCATCGAAACCCGTCACCGAACATGCTCGCCCATTCAGCCGTGGGAATGGTATAATGTTTCGGTCAATCCCATTATTCGTTTGTAAAAGAGTAGTCCAAAACCAACAGACGTACTTGTGGTTTTAAGTTGGCACTTTGATAGATAGAGACAGTTAACTTAAAGATTAGGGAACGTTTGTACTTTTCCCGATTCGAAAAGTTTTATACACAGCAACGAGACATTAAGTATTTGTTGGGTTTGTTTTTGAATTTCGCGCAAAGCTACACTAGAGATATCTGCGCTAGCCGTCCCTAATTTGGCAGTGTAAGACAAGAGGGAAGGCAGCTAGTCATCACCACCCACCGCCAAGTCTTGGGCTACTCTTTTACTAACGAATAGTGGGATTGACCACCACATTATAACGCCTACACGGCTGAAAGGACGACCATTTTTTGGTGTACAGAGATTCGAACCTGCGACCCTCAGATTGCGAGTCGAGCATCTTAACCATCTGGCCATGCAGGACATGACGTCAAAAAATATTCAATTTATTATTATAAGCACTTTTAAAAAGAAAAAAAGGAGTACATATTAATAAAAATATATAGGATGTGAAAAAACATTACTTGTATACCTCCTACACTTACAAATAACACCTGGTTAAGCTTTAATTACACAGGACTGGGATGATTTTATTGTCCTGAAATTTTTACATGTTCTCCAGTAATTCCTTGTATACTAGGAGGTATACAAGTAATACAAGGAATTATCACTTTCGGATTCAGTGTACAGAATTTACTGGAGAACATGTAAAAATTTCAGGACAATAAAACCATCCCAGTCCTGCGTAATTAAAGCTTAACCAGGTGTTATTTGTAAGTGTAGGAGGTATACAAGGAATTGTATACAAGGAATTACTGGAGAACATGTAAAAATTTCAGGACAATAAAACCATCCCAGTCCGTAAGTGATCCATTTTTCTCCATCATGTACAGATTTTTCACAAAACGTCATAACGCAATACATAAAAGAAAGACCACAACACGTAGTTTTGAGACTAAAGACGTAGATTTCACACATACACACAAAATCAGGATGAATGAGGATACATATTCGTTTGACATCAATTTTCTTCCCTTTTCTCCAGTTTGTTTGTATTTTTGTTAACAAACATAATAATAAAAAATGTTCATTGTGGTAAACGAAATAATAATTTGATCTAAGCAAAAGTTTTGTTTCCTTCCCGATTTGTAAAAAAATGTGATAGAAAAAATTAATTTTATTATTTTCGAAATCTGCGTAGCTAAATTATGGAAAATCCGTTATTAAAACCAAAACAACTTTTATGAAGTTTAAATTCGCAGACCTGTGTAATCAGTACTCTAAACGAGATTTTTTTATTGTTTCAACTAGACATAACACAACCCTGTTTCTGTTAATGTTAAAATAGAAAGTGAATGGTTGGTTGTTGTTAAGCATGAATAGGTTATCTGTGCTCTGCTCACCAGGGGTATCGAAATCCAAATTTTAGCGTCATAAGCCTGCAGACTTGCCGTTGAGCCACTGGAGAGCAGAAAGTAAATGCGACAGTTTACATGATTGTTTCTGAAAAACAAAAGTTCATAAAATCAAAATAAACATTGTATTTTAAACGCTTTTAAATAAGGCAACTGCTTTTTCATACGTTTCATTAAACATTTGATTTTATAAGATCAAACAAAAGTAACCATAAGATATGGACATGCTAAACGTACTTTAAATTAATTTAATTCATATTTTCAGTCTTTGCTTTGTCATATTTTTTTATCGTTTAAATTAAATTTCTGGCCATATTCGACAAAATAGCATTAAAAGTTTTCTATCAAAATTGTTTTATAGTACTTTGACAAGCCGAGTGTTATCTAATAAAAAAATTTTGTCGAACAGGTAGAACTCAAAATAATATTATCTGAACTTATAAGCAATTAAGTAGTCAACAACTTTTTTTTTTTTTACAAACATGATACCTTCCTTTCTTCGAGTAAATTGTGAATTCAGTGTTTGCATGATTGTTTTCTTATTTGAGATAAAACAGTAGAGGGCTACAAGTATTTTTCCTTCGATGGCAAAATGGAAAGTAATTTCTGTAAACGTGTTTTTTTGTATGTTTCAATAAGATGTCGATT